CATAATTTTCTCTTTACTTTTTGATTAATTTCCTGTGACTTTTACTTAGATATATAGCTATAAGGAGCAGCTAAACTTTGCTAGTGAGGAACTCGCTATGATGATCAGTTGCTTCAAGGAAATGCATGTTAGTGCTACTAAACAGCGTCAACTTGCCACCGCTCAGGAAAGTGGGGAAGACGTAGTGCGGCGAAGTGAAATGTGCTTTAAACATGCACAGTGGAGATTGACAGATGCAGATGGATTACTGGGAATTGCTGACCTTGTTCTTAGCAACTTTTTGTAAGCACTTATTTTGTTGTTAGTGAGAGATTTGTCATTATAATTTCTATTATTATTATTTGTATCGTACATCTATGTATTTTTTTTCATCTAAATATTTTTATGTATTAATAACATTGCTGTTGTGATGACTTCAGGTACTCGAAAATAACCAAGAATGATGACTCTGTTGAACATTTGCTGGAGTTAGGATATTTTAAAGTAACCAATCTTTTACCTAACCAACTTTATAAGGTGAGATTGTTTTTAGGATTTGTATTTTAGACAATTTAAACTTCAAAAGTTTTCTTTGTTTATGAAAATGTGTTGTCAGTAGTTTTCATAATGGCATCTCTGTACCAGTTGTTTATTAACAAGCATTGTAAAATATTTAATAAAATATCATTGGCTAATTTATTCCTTTTAACTTGTTTACATTCCATTTGCTAACTGTGTGCTACTGTATTTGTGACATCTCTAGAATATCTTAAACCTCAAAATGTCATATTACACATCCAGGTTGGATAATAAAATTGTTAAATATATATATTTCTGAAGAATAGTCTGATAAAGAGTGGGATTCAAACTCGCATCTCGCTTGACAGATTTGTTCTTAAACTATCAGGATTGAATTCTTCACATCATTGGCTAAATAGGAAGAATTTTGATCTTTAAAGAAGATCTTAGTAACATACTTCCTAGTAAAAAAGCAAAGTTAAGACCGAAGTTTCCAGTATTTTGATCCTGACAGCTTAAATACTTAAAATACCTGTCTAGTTCAGATTAACCTTCTCCTCCCCTTTTAATTCTCACCTCAAAAATTTACAACAATTAAATGTGATGGTACGTAGCTTTATAACAACATTGCTGGAACAGCCTATAAAAACCACTGGTTTACACATTTATTTTTGTAGGATGTCCTTCAACCTACTGAACTCCAACCTAACATACCAGTGGATCGACAGCAAGCTCTGAGGATTTTCTGTCGAGATAGGGCTCCAGTGGGAGGAATATCAGTGAAAGAACACTTAGAAGTCAACGTCATTCCTATTACTATAGGTCTTACTTATGCTTTCTTTACAACCATGTTGAAGTTCTTCTTTCCCGAGAGAGCTACAGGTATGAATGTTGTCCATAGTAAATTTTGATTTAAAGGATAAGAAAAAATTAGTTTATTCAATGGAAAAAAAAAAGAGTTTTCAGTTGGAAAAATCCAGAATTCTTCACTAGTTTATAAATATGTTAATATTAATTTGAATTTTATCAATTTTTCATCCACTTCTTTGTAAACTTTTTATAATACTTAAATATTCTGAAAAAAAGTGTCATATATGATGCTTACATAATTGTATGGAAAGTGTGTGTACGATGTTTAAAACTAGCCATAAAACACTCGTTGGGAGGGTGTAGATCTTTTAACTCTTTAACAAATGAAAACGAGTCCAGGACAATAAATTCATTAAATCTTAGGAATTTTGCTGCTTTATATCTGTGCTTTCTGAATGTAGAAAGTGTAGGCCATAATGGATGATTCCATTTACGAACCTTAGGGAGGCCATACATTATACCAGGTCGTGATCCACCGGGATATAATTGTTTGAATGCATTGTCAGTAATAATATGTTTGTTTTTAAGTCCCTAATGAAGCTTTGTGTCTTTTCTTCCCTTTGGATGGTTAGGTAGAGTATATCTGAAGTAAGTGGTTTGAAGTTTGTAGTGTCGCTCGGTTTGTCTAATAACACAACTCCATTTCCTTTATCCTTGTGCATTTCCTGAAGAGATGAATAATTTGTGTGTAGTTGGCCTATATTGTTTTATCCTATGGTTTTAATTTACACTAGCACAGTTGTTGGTATTCAACACGAAATGTGAAGCATTATCTGATTGGTAGTTTTTTTATATATTTTATAATACAACTCAGTAGCTCTACACAGCTATACACATGCTTTTCAATACATTTAGTTCTGACATCACCTGTTGCCCTCAGTATTGTAATAATCTCTACAGTCTTGGTTACCAGTGCACCTGCCAACTAGGCCCCTACTATCATTCCTCATTCAGTCTGTTGGGTCCTTCCTGGCTCTCAACATGTATGCCGATTTAAATCATTTAAGCAGATCTTATAAATGGGTAAACAAATAGAGAGCAAAGAATTAAAAATATTTGAAATGTTGCTTAAAATAAAGTTCAGTAAAGACAGGTGCCACCTTAGTGGGGCCAAGGTACTTTTTTATCCTGCAGTGTTGAAACTATTGGGGTATTGCCCCACTAATATTTTGAAAGTTGTATTACAAAGTTTATACACACACACACTACCTTAATACAATGAAATGCAATAGCAAACACAAGAAAAATACGAGCTATTCCTCAAAACACATAATGCTATATTCTGCCTTAATAACTTATTGTTAGTACTAATAGATACTTATTTGTAATTTGTTTGTGAATGTTTAATTAGTACCAGTTAAGCAGAGTGTTTTTATCCACATATAATTCTTGAAGTCTAACAAGCATATAAATATGTGGTTCATTAATCGTGACCGTTTGCATTTTGATATTAAAACAGTATATTCATTACCAATAATTTTAATTTCAGAAAAGACAGAAGAACATGGCTATGAAGAACAAGATGGTGCAGGAACATTAAGTCGGCAGAAAAAACGAACAACCCTAAGTAATCGATCAACTCCAACTAGTATAGATAGAGATGACATCGATAAGATGAAAGTAAGTATACTGTGCATATGAAACCATGCAGCAAAAGTTGTACAGTAATTTCAATAATACATCGTATTGTGTAAATCACAAAATTCTTAAACTGAATCTTTAGAGGCTTAACTACATTCACAAAATTTACAAAGCAAAGTAAGTGTACTGTGCATATGAAACCATGCAGCAAAAGTTGTACAGTAATTTCAATAATAGCTTTATAAATTTTGTGAATGTAGTTAAGCCACTAAAGATTCAGTTTAAGAATTTTGTGATTTACACAATACGATGAAGTAGTTTTGTGAATACAGTTCGTTTTTTTGTGACGATAACCGGTCACTTAACCAGAGTTTTGTGGTTCTCTCAAAGCTTTGCAATAGTACTTCCATATTAGACTATACCATAATTTATGTAATATGGAAAGATTAAACAGTAGTTTTGTGATAAACAAAAAGTACAAAATTGATAAAAAAAAACATTTCACTGTTAATATTTAAATTTTTTTTCTAAAATGTTTTTATGATTATTGTTGTAAACACTTTTAAACAAGTATACCAAGTGTTGTTATAATATAGATATTACTAGTAAAAAAAATACTTAATAATCAAATGAAGAAACCAAATTATTATTATATTTTGTATAGGAAAGAGCAGCCGAAAACCACACCTTCCTGTACATTAAAATTCCTGAAGTTCCTATCCGTGTGAGCTACAAAGGTGAAAAGGAAAAGAACATTGAGGACCTCCATGACTGTAGTTTGATGCTTCCAACATTAGAATACCATAATCGGACTTGGACCTGGCTTGATCTTTTGTTAGAAATGAAGAATGACTCTAAACGAGTATTGCTATCCCAGGTATATTGATTTTTTTTTTTAAATACGTTGTTTTTCATGGTTGTAACTACCTTCTCTCTATCAAGTTCCTGTAAGTATTTGTAGTAAGACATTGTAGTCCATCAAGATATCTTGTAAATCTCTTATGATAGCTTGTTACCCTAAAACTTCTGATTTTTTTTACAATTTTAAATTGTTCTGTGATGGACATTTCTAGTTCTACCTAATATAGATTGTGTGGTCTAGTTCAGTTTACTGACATGGTATATACAGTTTTTTGTATCTTCAGAAAGAAATTTATTCCTAGTTGTCATTAATCCCTCTAGTAACACTAAATAGTGGGTATCTTATAACATAGAACCTCTCATAGATAACATTTGGGACCAAAGTGTGAGAGGGGAGGTTTGGTTTAATTATTGTGAATGTTGTGTATATATACTATATACCACATTAAAAAAAAGTAGAGGGTAATCCCTCCCCCTAATAATCCTGTCTATGGGAGCTGTACTTCAGCTCTAGTTTGTTCACTTGAATCTTTTGTTCATTGATAAAAACCTATGAATTTCAATCCAAAACATAAGAAGTATACTTAAAAAGATGAGTCTGTCAGTTTTAGTTTCCTCCTAACTCAGACCTAAGCTGCTATTTTTGTGGTTTGCCATTATTTTTACAGTTCTTATTTCATCCAAATACCAGCTTAGGTCTGAGTTTTTGTGGTTTGCCATTATTTTTACAGTTCTTATTTCATTCAAATAGCAGCTTAACCTTTTCATGGCCCTCACAAAGACAGTGCTATTTTTTCTTTTTACTCTTTAAGACTGTTTGTGCCCCTGATGAAGAAAGGTCCACCTTTTGAAAGTCCTCGAATTATAAGAGTTTTTTTATTTTTGTCATTAATTCAGTTACAGTCATGAGACCCTTAATTGAATAACATTTTACATGCACAGTCCATTATCTGAATCATTGAAGAGATACACTTCACTGAAAATTCAGAATTGTAAGACCTTCCTCAGAAGATCATGTCGAAATGTTCTAGTGTGGTTCTGAAGGAAATTACCAGAAATTTTGTATAAGTGTCTGGTAATTTTCTTCAGAACCATACTAGAACATTATTTATAATGCTATAAATAAAAAGGATGTTTGAGATACTTTTTTATTATCAAATTTAATGATGTTGTATTTGTAAACATTTTATTTTTGATGATTCTTATTTTGAGTAAATAAATATTCTTAACCAAGATATCATTCATTACGACAAATGATGCTTTTCATTTTCAGCATAAAATACTAACTGTTTCCTTACCAATGTACAATTATTTTATTTCAATATAGACTAAAATACTTATACCATTGCTAATATTTTGTTTCACCTACTGGTTGAAAGCTAGACTACACTGCAAAGTCTATTAGGAATTCCAACAGCTAAACATGGATCACAATTGTGTTTTCCCCAGTAATGAGAAAACTTGTTTATCCTTTCTAGGCTATCAAGCAAAAGCTACAAATCAAATCCAGCAAGACCTCCTTGGATGAAAGTAGTCAGCCACAAGAAGAAGATAAGGCTCGTCTTCTACTTGGCTCTAAGCTTACTGTAAGTATTATTAGTCTATATGTTATTCTGAGTTTTATTAACATTAAAAAATTTGGGTTCTAAAGTTTTGTATTCAAGACATTATAAAGAATATATAAAAATACAGTTTATGTTGGGATCGCTGTAAACAAATTTCCGTAACTTTTAATTTAAATAGCATTAAAGTTTTCTTGAAAGTCCTACATGTACTTAATATATTAATAGTTTAAAAATATATAAACAGAATAAGAAAGTTTTTTAAACATCAAGATTGTTTATAAACATAAAGAGCCTCTACTGCAAATTAAATGAAAATGTAAACATTTTGTAATATCTATAAATTTATTTTTAGGGTGGACCTGAGAAGGGAACCAAGAAAGGTTTATTTGGTAAATCAAACAAGTAATGGTCAAGCCATTAAAACAAAATCAGGCAATTAATGTGCAAGTCAAATAACCATGACGGAATCAAAAGGAAGAACAAAATACCATTGAACATGGGATAAACACATCATAGACAATATGTGATTGGTGAAACTTGAACTAGTAATAAAAAAAGATTTCAACAGTTATTTTTAATTTAAAAGTATTGTTTAATACTTTGTGATCAAAAACCAGTAATCATGCTTAACAGTGAGTTAGTAATCTTATTGGTGTACATTTCTGTTGTTTAAGTTAATTATAATGTGGATGGATAATCTGTAGTTCTCAGATAATTTCGTCTTGTTTTGATACTGTGGTACTACCACTGTCCATCACAGTTGATTTTTGCTTTGTCTGTAAAACTTTTATTTGTTCCTTAACAGTTATTTATATATCCAGATAATATGACAAACTTTGGAGGTGCTTAAAATATTGTTATTAATATTCAATTTTTACACTGCGATTTGTGAATAAATTCCATCTTAAAGGTTGTTGTTAATGCCTAAACTTTCACTTTTTTCCATATTTTAAAAGAAACAAATGAGAATAACACGAAGAAGGTTCAAATAGTCTAGTCTGTCAAAGTGTCTCTGTTATAAATAAAACATATTCTGAGTAATAAGCTCCAATAAAAATAACTTTTAGATGAGTTTCAGACACCAGTTATTCAAAAACTTATCTTTTATTAAACTATTCGTTAATACAAATAAGAATTTTAAAACAATTATAAATACGCATTGTTTATAGGAAAATTTAAAGTTTAAATTTTTGTATCTTAACATAAATAATTGTTCCTATATTAACTGAACTGTTGTTAACTTGCAGCAAAAATTTTGTAAAATGTTTATACATATATAAAAGCAGCTTTAAAAAATTGAAGTATTTCTTTTTTTTTTACGGCATACTTTTAATGTTGCCTTTATATATTTGCTAAATATATTGATCTTCAATATTTGATAATGTTTAATTGATTAATTAAATAATAATGTTACATTTTTAACTTGAAGCATTTACAAATTACCACCACAATTACTGGGTTTTGTTGAATTTATTGAATTTTATGGCTATCTCAAATAAGTACTAGTTAAGACCATGATTACTTTAAAAGTGTGGCTATTACTGCAAGACATTTTTATTTTTAAGATTTAATTTAAATCCTTAAATTGTTTTAAGAAAATTAAGGTAATATATAAGAACTTGCCTTTGCCACTTTAGAATATTTTTTGTTAAATAAGTTTTTTTTCACAAGTGGACAAAGACAAATAATGACCAGTGAAAGTAATTAGGTGATCAAATGTATAAAAAGAAAAAAATTGTTCTTTTTTTTAATCCTATCTGTAATTACTCTGTGGATTTGGTTTTAATTTATATCTACGTTATCCTTTTCAAGGTAAGACTAATAAACCAAGCTAAGTGATAAGCTTGTTTTAAAATGTTTTTTATTTAATTAATTAAATGTTTTTAATGTTGTAGATGGTATATCAGTTATCAAACAATGATACTCTGACAAATCCAGCAGATCATCATGTTCATACTTTTTTCTTTTACATTGGTAGATATTTTTCATTACCTATTGATTAACACAAAAACTTATCATAATTGCTTGTTTTAAAACTTCTTTAAAATAAGTATATTTATACTTTAGGTCTCAGTGAATTAAAGTAATGATGTTCTAGATATCTTACTTATCATACCGTGGCTGATTGGGGAATGTCAGTTCTAGATATCTTACTTATCATACTGTGGCTGATTGGGGAATGTCAGTTCTAGATATCTTACTTATCATACCGTGGCTGATTGGGGAATGTCAGTTCTAGATATCTTACTTATCATACCATGGCTGATTGGGGAATGTCAGTTCTAGATATCTTACTTATCATACCGTGGCTGATTGGGGAATGTCAGTTCTAGATATCTTACTTATCATACCGTGGCTGATTGGGGAATGTCAGTTCTAGATATCTTACTTATCAAACCGTGGCTGATTGGGGAATGTCAGTTCTAGATATCTTACTTATCATACCGTGGCTGATTGGGGAATGTCAGTTCCATTTTCGAAATGGCCAACTTGGCTATTGACACTACCATTTGACTTCCTGTTCAGTGCTATTCTTAAGTACAAGCAAGGCAAGAGATTGCTTGGGAGGCCTTATGTCATACAAACAAAAAATGTTTGTTTGTTTTATTTTTTCGCTATAATTGTTGTTATATGACATCAATTACACTGATGAGTTAAACATAACATTTAAAATTAAATTTATTTATTATTTTTATCTCACGATGCAAAATTGCAATAAAATGTGTTTAATTCCTTTAAATAACAGCTAAACATCTAATCTGAGCCTTAAGTTTGAAGGTGACACCGTATCCAATTGCTCTGTTGCCTCACATGTATTAAGAGTGTGCCCTGTACTTCATTGAATGACTTCAATAATTAATTCATGGCTACATTTTCTCTATTTTTTTAACATCGGTTAAGCTTGTAATATTTAATTAAAAAAGAAAAGATACATTTGTTTCCGCTAGAAAATTGTTATAAAATAAAATTTATTTTATGCACGCCTTTTCAGGTGGAAAATTTGAAAACCTTGATTAGAACAGAAACACTAGCACAACAATTTTCTTTCAAACAATCACTTATAAAACGTTCTTACCAGGAATAAATATTCACCAGTATTTTTGAGATACAGAAAGAGAAAATTACTGGAAATATTAACATAATAACAAATTTGACAAAATAATTAGCAGTAAATGTACGTGTTGGAACGTTTTTTGGTTTTTATTATTACATAATAGCAATTGTTTATGCGGTAGACCAGTGGTTCCCAACCTGAGGTCCCCATAGGTAATACCATCTCATTAAACAAGTAAGTTTTTTAATACTGATGTTCTTTTTTATTGCACACTCAGTTATATATGGCTTTTATTTGATAGTGAAAAGTGGGAGAACGAGTTAATAAAAACAGTTTGGGCCCGGCATGGCCAGGTGGTTAAGGCA